TTTTAGACTCAAATTGGATCAAAACTTCTCATATAACTAGATTTGATCCATTTAATAATGTAAATAATACTTAGAATACTATTATTTCTCGACTCATTCATACGCAAATACCGAATTGCTCTTCCTGCTTCTCTTGCAAAACAAATCAGTATAGGATTATAGTTAATCGAAATGTCACTGAAGAGTATTATTTTTTTAATCCTTTTAGTATTGTTTTAGTGATTAAGCTTGATAATAACAAGATTTTAGTTTTAATAGATATTGATATGGGGTGAATTGTATGGTTTATTATTACCGGTATATAATAAAAAGCAAAATTAATATAAAAAGGCAACTCGACAGAGGTGTGAAAATGGAAATTTGTTAATTGATTTATTAATATTTTTATATTTTAGAAAGGCGAAAGGACAACTCTCATATAATTTTATATACAGTAATCGTAGGGCTTCATTAATTAATCACACAACCCAACTCTTAAATGTTTAACTGACGTTCTTTAAGAGAGAGGAATTTTCTCTGATACTCGATTTCTTCTCTTTCTCCAGAGAATGTTCTCCACGAAGGTTCTTCTTTCGCGTTTGAGTTACAACCACTAGAAAATTTCATTGATGACATCTAAGACGCCAGTGTAATCGAAGATTCCAAACGTTGATCATTACGTACTGTAGCAACAAGATTTACTACGCCTAATTTCGAAAATTTCATTTTTAGACTGTGACAATATATAATGCATATTTATTACCAGTTATAGAAAAATGAAAGCTTCGCGATTTGATTAGTTAATTTTTTCATTACACAAATTTCTTGGAAAAATGCACGTACTAAAACTAAAATAACAGATTAATGCTCCCGGAGTGTCTAAATGTCTGAACATTTGTATAACCGTTAAATGCCGATTAGTTAGTAACCATATGAGGTACGTACGTACTTCTGCATTGTGTAGCTAGTTTTGATTATTAGAATTTAGAGGTAAACCTTCTTCAAAATTGCAGAAAGACCGTAACTAAAATATTATGATTGATGCGAAATTATTATGATGTGAATTAATATAATACGGAACTTGTACGTACAAATTTTGATACGTATGCAAATTCTAGCCATCGTTTGATGGGCAAAGACAATAGTAAACTATTAATAAATCACATCTGCGAAAAATTATCGTAATTGCCCAATATTAAATGCATTGTAAAATTAGCAATACTATGTGCGTACCTACGCACGTACCATCTAACATGACACATTTTTAATAAAAAGGATTATATTTTAAAATCTGAGGCATAGAAACTTCGGAATTTTTTGTGTAATGTAATTTAAACAAAATTAAAAAACTGAATGAATATTCAAATTCCCATTTTTAGTAACTAACTTCAAACGCCGTTTTTCTTATTTTAGAAAATCCGGAGGAAACTCCCGTAAGTCTTTTAGGTGTTTCCTTTTTTATCTAAATTTTCTTAAAAGCGCATATATTCAATATAGGCCCATATAAGATTAAAAGTTTCAAATTTGTTCGGCGTCAAATTTAAAAATGACGAAATTCATTTATTGTAAACTTTGTCACGTTTATAAAAATTGCGAATTACACGTTCGATATAGTCATTTCGACAAGAATTAATTATACAGAATTATTGTTAGGGTCTCGATTAGGCAAAAAAATGCAAACATCACAAAGAACAAGAATCATTTGATCGTGAAACGATTTTTCAGCCTGACCTGACATGTATGTACGTACGTACGTACGTATGTACGTACAATATAGGCCTAAAATTGGATATTTCCTTATTCGTAAATATCTATAATCTTTATAAATAAATGCGGAATATGCTTTCATACGTCCGGAAACAAATAAACCAGTTCAAGTTGTTTCATTATTATTATTCCATTTTCTTATTTATTTGAATTACTTTCAAAATGAATTCCCTTCCAGATTTTAATAACGCTTTAGAGCCTTTCAACATGAATCTTGAAAATGACCAAACACTCCCTCGTATGCTTCATGGAGGTGAAAACAAAATTCTCGAATTTAAAATTGAGAATGTCACTTTTCATTGCGAACTTCCAATTCCAAACAAATTCCCCTTCAAATCGAAAGGATACAAGAAATTAAATGATTTTACTATATTCCGTACAGTTCTTCAGCAACATTTGCAAAGCCAGTCAGACAAACTAAAAATTTCCCGCATTCAAAATGTTGATATTTCTTCTCTTTCAGGAAAAATTTGGAAAAGTGGCTCAAAAGCGTTTAAAGATATGTTCAAGAAATACGCCGAAGAAGTTAACGAATGCAGGGAAAGAAACTCGGAGAAAAGGTTGAACATTGTAAATATAGATCCAACAGGCAAAAAGAAAAAACATAAGAAGATGAATAAGAATAAAGAAAGAAAGAATAATGGTGGTTATAGTGTAATTATAGGAAAAATGGCTCAACCAAATGTTGCATCAAGTAACATCATCGGTACAAGCTTCATTAATAACCAAATAATGGGACCAAATTCTAGTAACATTAATGACGTAGAAGTTCCTCAAATGGTAAATTGCCCTGTGGAACATCCCACACATGTTAGTATCCAAGCACAATCCCAACATTCACTTTACTATAATGTTTTACCGGACATTATAGAAGGCATAAATTTCGGTAACCTTCCGAATAATGACATTAATGGAGAAAAAAAGAATTTCGACTTTTCTGACCATTTCACCCCTATTTCCCTAAACGAGAAGCACGCATATATACCTTCACCTTCCCGTCAAACTATTATACCTTTACTTGATGATAATTGTACTTCTGGTTTCGATATCATAAATGGTATTTCCTTTTATGATTACAACTACAACTCATACAATATTGATATCGAGTACGCTAAACATCTTCCAACTAATGAGGTGGATACAATCAATGTTAATTCCATTAATCTCCAACAAATTAATGATCTCCAACAAATTAGCTCTATGGGTTATATCAATGTGCATTCCGAATTTTCACCAGTTTCTCTAAATGATACATATGCACAAACAACACAATCATTGTGTCCACCTTCACTTCTAACAAATCATGATAACTCAATGTATGAATTATCATTATTAGGTGGTGGATTATTAGGTAGTGATAGTAATGATCTTATGGGTTTAATGCCCGATTTAAATTTTATGTATCCTAATAATCCCTCGTGATCTTGATGGTCGCACTTTTTCGTAATTACTGTATAGAGTAACCAATAATATTAGGAACTATTTTCTATAAAATTACTAGGTAAGAAACTATATGAAATCTATATACAAGAACTTAGAAATATTTTTATGCAATCTACGGACTTACAGTAATACTATACAAAAGGAAACATAAGTTTATAAAAATTGTTATTTAATTTTATAATTAAATAAATTTATATAAGAAAATTTCATAATATTATTGCCATTTATATAATTTCGTGGAGGTTCTCTTTAGATAATTTTTATTTTTAAATTTTTTTGCTAAACCTTCTCTAAAAGTAAGCATTATGTTTGCATTTTCAAATGAAGTAATAGTTTATTCTCATTAAGCGTATGGCCAAAAATTTTTGATTTAATTTATAAGTTTGGCTCAATAATTAAGAAAAGCAATTGACCAATCAAATACAATCTCATATCGGCAAATTTGCTGAATTACAATGTGGTTGTTAAATTTCAGGGGATACCCTTATGTCAAGCAAATTTCGGACCTCCAGCCTAAAAATTTTGGGTCGTAGTATTCATAGACAGAAGTTCGTCTGATTGGCTAATAAATTCAATTTAATTTTACATTATTTATACAG